GCATATGCCTGGGATGGCGGGCCGCAGGGGCCGTAGCAGCCATCCGTATTTCTGCAGAACCCCGGTGCGGAGGCGGGCCAGTGCGGCCTCTACCCCACGAGTGAGGGTGGTGTCCGCGCACGTGGGTTCCCAGTCGCCTGTTACGGTGGAGCGGCGAGTTTCGGCACTGAGCTGTCGGGCACGAGTAATATTTTTGGCCAGTGCGACGATGCCGGTGATCCATCTTTTCCGTGAGCTGTGCGAGGTCGGATGCCCTCTTGGCTTCTGCGTCGCAAGCTTTGTTCCTGGACACGCCGCAGTGGCCGAAGACAAGCTGCGTTCGCGTGCGCGCTCCTCGGTGCGGCGGGCGGAGCAGGAGTGTCCAGAGTCGACGAAGTATCGGGACAGATGCCGTGAGAGGACCCGTTTTTGAAGTGCAGTCAGGAGAAAGAGTGAGCCTGTGAAGGTTGACACGCTAAACAGCGCACTGCCTGTCCGCGGGATGCTGCTCAATGGCTTTCCTAGACCAAGGTGTTGGGCGATGCGTTCGGCTCTGCGGCTGCATGGTATCCGTTCTGCGCCGGCCCCGGCAATGTTGATCGGCGTTCCATTCAGGTAGAGCATCGCTGCCGCTCCCAACTTGACGCCGAGTTCCACGGAGCCGTCTGTCCATCCTTCGCGGCGTTTTCTTCTGGCTGTGGCGACAGGCCTGTGCGTCAGAAGCGGCGGGCGATCCAGCGGTCACAAGCCTGTTGCTGGACCTCGTCGGGGCCATCTGCAGCGGCACCACCCCGGGAGGCGCGGGCAGCGAGCTTCTGTCCGAAGCGCAGGGCGTGGGGCCATGATGAAGCCGCGCGGTTTTCTGGCGGGGTGCTGCGGGTGGCGGACGATGGAGGCAATAAAACGCAAAGCACCTCCACGCGTCTCGCATAGAAGCGCATACCGGAGGCCGCGCGCCGGCACCGCATCGGGGAGGGGCTGCAGCTTTGCCTCAAACACGGCATCCTCCACTTTACTGCCTCTCGGGGTTCGCGTGACTATTTTGCTTGCCTGGTACTGTGCGGGATCCGGCTTGCAGTGGGGCGTCGGGGAGGCGTCTCAACACCATGCTCTGACGCCGTGCATCGCCTCCGCCTGCGGCAGCGCAATGTACACCGCCCTCAGTGTGTCTCTCCTGGTTCCCCATGCAAAAGACAAAATCGTTGCCAGTTGGAGTGGGCGCTGCTTCGATTCCTCATGGAGATGCGCCACGTGTGCCCATTCCACGAGGATCCTAGAACTTGACGTCCAGAAGAGTCGGCATGCGCTCCATAGTGGCCGGGGCGTCCTCATAAGCGAGGCGCAGTGGGGCCGTGTTGCCGGTGCCGAGGAGAGTGTACCTCACCCTGCTGGGGGTTGCCTCCATGAAGTATTCTCTGGTCCACTCCGCAACGGCACTCAGGCCTTCTTTTGAGGCCGAGTTGATCGCATCCCTGTCGCTCTGCTGTGCGATGGAGGTGAGGGCATCAGTAATGAACCCTCGGCGAATTAGGGCACCTTCGAATGACAAGGACAACGAGACTGCATGACGACGACGAAAATGATGGGTGACGGCACTGTTCGCTGCGGTGCGCCTCGTGTGAGGGTCCTGGAGGAGGGTGTGAGTTGTTTGTCGATGCAAACCACAGCGCTTGTGCTATTGAGGCACGTTGCTGACCAGCGTGCGATGCGATTGGGAACCGACAGTCGCCGCATTTCCAAGATTACCGCGTCAGGGCCCACCGTGCCAAAGGCATTGGCGTGTTCTACAAAGACAGCCGCCGTGCGGTCTTGTGGAGCATTGCGATGCATGGCAGCCCTGATGCGCAGCAATTGGTCGGGGGTGGAATTGCCCGGCAAAAAGCCAGATGGCTGCAGAGTCAACTGGGACTCGATGACGTCCCGGATGCGTGCGGCGGGAGTGCGTGAAGGAGAGAGCCCCGCGGCGTCCTCCTGTGGGAAGCCGCACTCGCCAGCTCGCAGTCGCCCCCACCGTGGCACGCTCCAGCGGCGCGCAACCGTCACACGGCTCGTGCAGCAGCGCCGCCCCTACACTGTGCACACTGCTACAAGAGAACACGCGGGGAAGAAAAAAAGGGGAAGCCGCGCCATCAACAAGCAAGGGGCGGTGGGCCGTTGGCTTTGTCCTGCCCACGGGCACACCAGCGGCGGGGAGGGCGTCACGGCACGCACTCTCCCACACACGCCGGGAGCCTCACCACCAGCACTGGCAGCAGTCGCACCGTGAGGCGCTCAGTTCAAAAAGACACCACACGAACGCACGAGAAGACAGCCCCAATTCCTCCCAACCACAAGCACCCACCGCGAGATGAGGGCTCAGGCGTGGAAAAGGCCGGAGCAAAAAAAGAAACAATAAATCCCATCCATCACCCAACCGCAAATAAACGGTATAATAATATGAGAACAAAACAAAAACATATACATTGTTCATTGGTGGCCCGGCCCGCACACTCACATCCACGCCACGTGCTCCCAGCGGAGGCTCGTCAGCAGCCCAACACTACGGGCGCCCACCGCCTCCACCACAGCGCTCCGCACGCAAGTCAAGGGCAGGGAGTGGCACGCTCCACAGGGGCACGGGGCGGTCAATGACACATTTCACGTCATTCGGCCGCAAAGTACATAGAAAATCAACTGGGGCACACCAAATAATTAGACAATACGTTCAGAGTAAATAAAAAAGCATCTCCTTCATATATCAATCACAAGAGGGGTATATCACGTCCTCTGAGACCCGCCACAGACGGGCGGCAGGCGATGTGTCGTTGCCGAAGCGCGCCATCAGCGCAGCGTAGTCGTCCTCCCGCACGTGATGGACACACATCGAGGTCGGCACCACCCATGATTCCCCCGTGTCACTGCGGGCTTGAAGGAAATGACAGGGCAGCACCTTGACGTGTATCAACGGCTGGTATTTCACTTCGTCCAACAACACGTGCCCAACCATCATGTCCTCGTGACCCATACCAATTGAAAAAAACTCCTCCTCACGCTCCTTGCTGTACGGCGTGTACGCCAGGCGCCGCAGCGGCTTGAACGACACCAACGCCTCCGCCACATCCCTCGACATCGTGTAGCACCAGCCGACCATAAAATGCACACTTACTGAACGGCCATTCGCCCAGATATTTCCTCCACAATGAGCCCCCATGTAGATCCTTCGGCGCGGCAGGAGGCGCAGGTGAGCAACGAACAGCGGCACACGGAGAAACATGTCGTCATCGCCCTTAGTGATGTACCCCGCTGTCGGGAACAGGCGGAGCGCAAGGTCAAACCACATGTACGTCTTGCGGCTCATACCAATCTCCGCCTCAGTCCCAATTGCCCCACTAACGCCCGCCTTTTTTCCTGGAGACACACGGCCCTCTTTCATTGGCAGTGCAACCACATCGTTCCACTGCGCCGCCTCCTCCAGCAGCGCGGCAGAGTAGTCGTAGCCGTGCGACGGGTGTCGCCCAAGGACATACAGCACAAGCATCGCACCGATGAAGTCGTTCGCTCTCGTCGCCACACCGGGGAACCGCCAGCAAGTCGTCCGCTGCAGGTTGCGTCGTGTTCGCCTCTCTTCGTCGTCCGTGGAGGGAATGCCCAGCACAACAAGGTACTCCCGCCGGCTCCACTTGTCCACAACACTGCGTGGGATGTAAGCAAGTGCTGCGTCTTCCGCGGCGGCGGCTCGCGAGTGGCGGGGGTTGTTGGGTCCCGACGCGTCATCATCGGCAGTGGTGTCAAGTCTGAGGGCCAGAACAGTCGTGGCCGCAATGAAGAGAATCAACAGCAAGGCAACTCGCTTCAGCTTACGCTTCATCGTCGGCAGTTTCGGATTCGCCATGGTCGCTGTTGGTGTGAGAGACTAAGCAAAAGAAAAAAGGGGCGGAGAGAGTGTGGGAGCGGCAGGCGACAATCAGAAACGCCACGGCCACGCGGCGCAACGCAGCCACGCAAGTGCACGGAGGCCCGCCAGCCAAACTGCCGCGCCACCCGGATCCGAGACGGTGCGGATGAAGGGGCTCAAGCAGCGGAGCGGCCGGCAGCACGCACCCCCCCGCCGAGCAACGGCGGAGAGAGGGAGAGGAAGAGAGGCCGCGGAAACAGGGGCAAGCAGCGCCAGGGAGACAGCGAGGGTTGGGGGCAGGGCCGCCGCGGCAGCAAAGTGGGCGGCGACACAAGCACACAGGAGGCACGGGGGCCCACCGCAAGGGCTCGTCCGGCGCCTGGGGGACGCCGCGCCGCCTCCTCCCGCCATCGCGAGCCCCTCCGCACCCAATGCCGCCAACGACAACGCGTCCGCTAACTTTACGAAAGGAACGCCAGGGACAGCCGAGCACGTCCACACCGTTGGCGCTCCCGCCCCGCCGCCCTCGCGGTCCCAGACGCACTAGCGCGCAAAGACGGCCGACGGGCACGGCAGGGCTCAAAGCACCGCGCAGCAAAGAACAGCGTCACACGAGCGTCAGACCACAGTGAGCCTCGAAGACGTTTTGCAAATACGCGCGCACACCGCTTCGTTTAGAGAGCGATATTATGCGAAGAGGCGGCGGTCGCACAAATCCGCAAGAGACATGCGTAAACAGAGACGCAAGCACGGGGTGAGGGCTTGGCAGGGACGCGTCGTAGAGGTGGGGAATGAAGACACCATGGGTGACTGCACTCCACTTCCTCCCCGATGCGGAGTGGGCCGCGTTGCCCAGAAAATTACAACGAAAGAAAAAGAAACAACCATAAAAATATAATTACAAATAAAGACTCTCCCTCCGACACGCAAAAAAAATGCTCTTGTCTTTCTTTCACATCGCAAAACGTTTTTCACTTCATTGCGTTGATTTCACCCAACATTTCTGATCACGGAAAACAAAAAAAAAAGTGGAGGACAAAAAGAGCCCTGCACGCCTGTTGAGTCCTCGCGGAGAAGCGGCCTGCCTTTTCTTGTACGCATGACCACCCACCATCGGCGGCCAGTGCGCCGTCATCTCGGTATACGTATTCGGTCTCCACGGCTGCAGCCTTTTCCTCCGTGTCGGCTCGCAGGGTCTCCCTCGACGGCGGCAGGCCCCCTCCTCCCCTGTGAGTCTCAGCGCTCGGCTCCTCAGCAGTTTCCGTAGCGCTCTTCCGGGATACGCATGTTCTCAAAATCGTTGGAGAAGAAACGTGGTGCCGGGGAGAAGCCGCCAAAATAACCCGCCGGCGTCGGCTCATGGCTGCCGCTCTGTTGCCGGCACGGGCCCCATCCGGAGTTTTGGCCGCCCATGCTCCCAAAGCCCTCCGGCGACGGCGGCATTTCATTCGGGCCATGCACCCCTTTTGAGTCATCCGCCGCCGCGTCTCGGCAACCATTTGTTGGACGGCCCGGCGCTGCGTGTTGTGCCGCATCAGCCGCATTGCGCCGTACGGTTCCGGGCAAAACACCAAGGAGGCTCGTTTTTCGTGTTTCGTCCCCTTCGCGATCCTAGCCGTGGGCCCCGTGACGCCGCAGGTACGGGCAAACACGCAGACGCCAGCAAAAAGGAGGAAGGACAGAAAAATAAAGAATCACCAATGAAAGGAGTACGACAAGGCCAAAGCAGCAGCAGAACAAAAAAAAAAAAAAAAGAGGTAGAAAGAGCGAGACGGCGCGGGGTGACGTCCCACACCACCGCGACGCTCCCACGCATGTCGTTGCATGTAAAATGGTACAATTGGAATGGAAAACACTGCTTGCTGTCAACAAAATAACGCCGTGCCACTCTTCTCTCCATCCCATTTATATTCCCTCCAGGCACAAAAGCCGCACAAATTTAACGCAGCGGCAGGCACGCAGACTCACAAAAACATGCACACAATAAACTAAGGAAAAAATTAAAAAAACGCCACCCCAGCAGAAATGAGCACCACACGCATACTAACATATAAAATGGACACCGCCACACAAATGGGCGTATTTTGCAAACAGCAATTACAAAGAAAAGCAAACAAAAAGAAACGGTGGATGGAAATGGCTCTCTTATGAAGTACAGCAGATCCGGGAAAAGAAACCGCCCCGCAAGGGCTTTTTCCCGCTCCTTTTCACGGAACCGCTACTGGCACTGTCGCTGTGCGTCGTCCCGCGCCTTGGCCTGACTTTCCCAGCAGCTCGTCCCTTATCGGCCACGCCCTTTTGTTTTTTACGTGGGACGGCTACTGAGGGACCTGCCATGTCGGTTGGCGCCTCCTCGGATGCGCTCAACGGATTCACCCGTGGTTTCACCTCCTTGTCGTCGTTGTCCGGCTCCTCTTTTCCTTCTTCTATTGGCTGTGGTGCGCGCGACAGGTGGCCGTCCGCTAAAATATTCCCGGAGGCTTGAGAGCTGCGCGGACGTGTGGCGGATGGGGGCAAGATGAGTTTGACGGACCCGCGTCCTCTGGAGGCCGCGACTACGCCCGCCTCCTCCCTCTCCAATTCAATACGATTGGCACTGCTCCCCGCGTCCATGAAATCGCCACGCGGTAAGAGCAGTTCTCCAGAGCCTCTCGCAGTCTTGTTACCATCCGACTTTTGCTGCATGAGTGTCATAAGCTCGACGCAAAACTCCTCCTTATTCTCCTCCGGTATCTCCACCGTCAGCCCCGGCCGCGGGTGCAGTGTGATGGAGTGGCGGGCGATAATGCAGCCAGTGCTGTTGACTCTGTTCAAGCACTGGAGCGTCGCCGCGATTCGTCCCGGGCTGTTTCGCCGCGTCTGCGTCGGGGACGTGTTATTTGCCCGGGAGAGGGAACTCGCCAACAGTACACCATCAGCACCGTGCGTCAACTTCCCCCACCGGTCCATAAGAGTGGGAGCGCCTCGCGTCCTGTGCGCCGACTGCTCCTCGTCTTCCTCCAGCTGTAAGGAAAGGAAGCGGCATGAGTGGCAGGACTCCCGGGCGAGTGAGTCGCAGGAGGCATCGCTACTGCTAGAAACGTCACTGCCGCTACTACTGTGGAGTTCGGGGTGAGTTGCAGGCTCACCGTCACCGCCGCTGACTAGTGGCCGCCGGGGAGGACTTCCGTCGACATCGATGGGGCAAAGCGAAAAGGCATCCAACCACTCAAGTGGGTCGGTGGTATCCAGCACGCCATAGTCGTCGTAGTGGTACATGGCGCACTTGCAAAAACACTGGGAGGCCGGCCGTCAGTAGCATGGGAAGAGAAGGAGAGAAGGAGCAATACATTTTGAAAAAGCAGCAAGACAAAAGACAAATAGGCGGACACATAACGATGCGAATAAAAAACCCAAAAGCAACGGAATTCACATAGGTGTCCACCCACGTGCAAAAATATGCAAGCATACACGCATGTATACAAATATGTGCGTGCCGTATTCGCACAAGAATGCACAGAACCCACAGGCTTGGGCACTCCCATGTATGTATACACGTACAAACGCTGCATACCCACATCCCGCTGGCAGGATTGGCGGCACGCCTTACAGTATGATGGATGGAGAAAAGAAAAAAACAGGGTCATGCGGGCAAAAAAGAAAGAAAGAAGAAAACAAATAACACGTCAACGGCACAAATGACACTCCGTTGGGGAAGACGTACAACACACGCCGCGCCACGGTAATTTCTCACAACCTTCCGCGAACAAAGACTGCCAGTTGAGTCCGACCCTCCGCCAACAGCAAAAGTGCAATTGTTCGCGGCGTCCTCCCAGCACGTCTCTGCCAGAGCATGGGAGAAAAGAAAGCTTCGTGGACAAGTCGCATTGTGTCGACTTCGCCTCGCTTTGCCTTCGACAGGATGCGCTCTGGCTCAGAGGCCAAAATAAGAGGCGGTCACAGCTCCTTCCCATCATGCTCAGCACGTTTGGGAGATTAGAAGCTCTCATCCACCGTGTTGAAGAACTCAGCCTCCAGAAGCCCATCCTGCGTCGTGCCGTCCTTCCCCCCACGGGCGCTCGATGCAAAATGTCCCCGCACTGCAGCTGCTGTTGCCGCCAGCTCCTCGCCTGCGTGGTCAAGGCACTTTTTTGGTTTGCCAGATATTCTCCTTGGGGATAATCATTCCACCCCACAGGCTCCGCGTGAGGGGTCCACGCCAACACCCATTCGCCCAGTGTATACGGGCCGCGCTCCTGTGCCGACAGGAAGCGGCCGAAAGCCTCAGATCGGTCAGAGACGGCGCCGAGGTGTCTGTTCGGCTGCGGCCGTGCCACTTCCCCCGCCATCAAGTTAAAAACAAAAGGTTCCGTCCTTTACTGAGAGGAGTACCAGAAGAGCATCTACACGAGACACCGTTGACGCCCCTCTCGCGTGCCCATCAGTGCTGCTCAAATACCAAAAAAGGCTTGCGCCGCTGTTCGTCTGGTCCGTGAGGTCGTTCAGGGGCTTTACGCTTCCATTTAGTGAGCCCTCCTGCGCACAGAACATTCCGGGGACACTCCCACTCAGTGTGACGAATGCCCAAGAGCGGCTCCTGACTTGATTGAAAAGGCGGTTTTGCGGCAGGCGCTCCACCCCCTCACTCGACTCGGCGGACACGTCCTCGCCACACGCAAAGCGGTTCTACTCCTGTGCGGTGGAGGCTGGTTGTATCAGTGCGCCTCGTCGCGTTCTTGTGACTCTCCGGGCAGAGGCTGGGGGAGAGGTCGCCACAGCAATTCCGTAAAGAGATATCTGACTTGCCAGAGTACCGTCGCTCCCGTTTCAATAGATGCTGCTCCCACGCATGTTCCACGTCTCCTCCCCCTCCTCCTCGTCTCCGTCACCACCCAAGGAGAGCAACAGCAATCACCTGCCTTCTCGTCGTCTCCATTTATCTGCCGCAGAGAGTCCATTCTGTGGCTGCTGCTGGGCCATCGCCCGTCTGCGGAAGAGGCCGAAGCCGTCCTCATCGTCGCTGGAAAAGACATCCGGCGACTCCAAAAAGGGCACGCCCTCGAGAACAAATTCCGACTCGCACCGTGGCCGAGAGACGGCGGCTGTCGGCACCTGGCGACGAAGCGTCGTTTGTTTTTTCTTCTGTCCGCAGCAAAAAAATGGGCCAAAGCCCCTCAACACGCACGCCCTCCCCCTCTTCAGCGCCCCTCCGCGCGTGTTTGTGTTTCAGTGTGTGTCCTCCACGCACGTTGGGCGGGCAGACCGGCACCACAAACTCCAGTACTCTCGCTGTTGCCGTGGGGGAGAGAACGGAGGACGGACGTACACGGCAAAAGAACAAAAAGAGCGCCAGATATCACGGCGCAACAACAAACGCACATTCATTTCTACCGCCGTCAAATACACGCGCACACGCACGCAAATGCCGTTTCGCTCTACGTTCCTTTTTCCTTTTAACCGGTGTCCAGCTCCCGATCTCCCCACACACTCATTGCCGTCTTCTGCCAGCCCTGCGTCCTCGTCCCAAGCGGATTAAGTAAAAACACCCCGCCACGCACAAAACAAGACAAACAGCGCGGCGACCTGCCTGTTAAAACAGCCCCCCACCCGGGAGTGGGGCGAGAAAAAGGGACAAAAAGAAAAAAACAGCAACGCAGAAATATGGACATGCGGGCAGCACACAGAAAGCAAACACAAAAAAAATGCCAAAATGCCTGAATCAAACTCCATATGAAAAAAGTGGTCCATCTCCACAGCGAGAACCACACCGCCGGCACTGACAGCAGTCGCACCGTGGGACGCTCCGTCCACAAGTAAATCACACGAACACAGAGAATGCATCCCCAGCGGCTCCCAACCGCAAGCCCCCACCGCGAGGTGAGGGCTCTGGAGTGGGAGGGCCGAAGCAGGCAACGCACACAAAAAAAGGAAAAACACGCTGAACCCCATCCATCCACCAATCGCACAACCAAAAAAAAAAGGATAATAGCAAAAACAAACCTACATACATCTTTCCTTGGCGGCCCGGCCCACACACGCACATACTCACCACGTGCTCCCAGCAGAAGCGCTCCCGCAGCACAACGCAACGGGCTCCCACAGGCTCCACCACCACGTCCTGCACGCGGGTCAAGGACAGGGAGTGACACGCTCCGCAGGGGCACGGGGCGGCCGGTGACACATTCCACGTCGTTCGGCCACAGAGCACACAGAACACAAACCAAGACGAAGCAAATAATTAGGATACACATTAATATTTAACTCGCACACGTTAAAAAAACACAGCCATACAAAAAAGATTCCTTCTTTTGTCAATCACAAGAGGGGTATATCACGTCCTCTGAGACCCGCCACAGACGGGCAACAGGCGACGTGTCGTTGCCGAAGCGCGCCATCAGCGCAGCGTAGTCGTCCTCCCTTATATGATGAACACACATCGAGGTCGGCACAACCTGAGATTCCCCCGTGTCACTACGGGCTTCAAGGAAATGACAGGGCAGCACCTTGACGTGTATCAACGGCTGGTATTTCACTTCGTCCAACAACACGTGCCCAACCATCATGTCCTCGTGACCCATACCAATTGAGGAAAACTCCTCGTCACGCTCCTTGCTGTACGGCGTGTGCGCCAGGCGCCGCAGCGGCTTGAACGACACCGACGCCTCCGCCACATCCCTCGACATCGTGTAGCACCAGCCAACCATAAAATGCACACTTACTGAACGGCCATTCGCCCAGATATTTCCTCCACAATGAGCCCCCATGTAGATCCTTTGGCGCGGCAGGAGGCGCAGGTGAGCAACGAACAGCGGCACACGGAGAAACATGTCGTCATCGCCCTTTCTTATTTTTTTTACTCTTACCAGCGCGTCAAGCTATACAATGCCATCTGAGTGCCGAGGAGGTGGTCGAGCAGCGACAAAAGTTTCCTGCTATGAAGCAACTCCCATTGAGAGAACTTTTCGGTGCGGAGGTCCTGTTCAATGCCCAGTCTTTGGCGCACAGCCAAGGTGCCTGGACATTCTAGAAGCAGATGGTGCAAGGTTTCCTGCGGGCCAATCGGCATGCTTGTGGAAGCTGGCTGATCCTGCGGCGGCAGAGATCGCCTCCTGGCACTTCTGTTTAGATGTCGAGTGGCGTCTGGGTTGTGTGCGCAGCGACTTCTGTTCTGTGCGGTGCTTCTCCGTATGGGGAAAACCATATCACAGAAATCGCGTTTGAGCTCGGGAAGCGGTGGAGGATGTTCCGGATGAAATGACCGACAGTGACTGACGAGATTCGAGAATCCCGTCAATGTAGAATCACAGTACGGACATTTCTCCTTCCGACGACGTGTGATGGTTCGTCTCCTTACTGGAGAGACGTCTTCCTCCCTTGCCGACGGGGGAACAGTGTCCATCCCAGGTGCAGTTGGATCGTTGTTAGAGCGCATATATGCAAACTGTTCTAGTGAGATGTTGCAGAAACGGCATTGGTTCGTGCAATCCCTCACAGCCCAGTATAGTCGGCCCCAGAGCTCAGATTCCCCGCACCTTGCCCTTGCGAGGTGAACCAGTTCTTGACGGTGAAGAACTTCCTGAGTGATCAGGTCCTTGCCGCTAAGATCTGATGGCCTTGTGCCGCAAAGCAAGTAGCGATGAGTGTCTTGACGAATGGTACTACGCCACTTGTTGGTGAGCTGGGTAGTAAAGCATGTCAGCAGATCCGTATGCCATAAAGGTGCAATTCCTTGCTCCGTGTATTGTCCAGTTTCCATAGTCTGCGTCGCATACTGATCTGCAAGCTCGTTAGCATGTACTCCACAATGTCCGTAACAAAACTGCAGGTGCACAGACCAGCCAGCACACGTCAGTGTCAAGAGACGCTGCCAGATCTGATCCTCCGTCCAGTCTGTCTGACTGAGCGGGCCCTTGTTTAAAGCCGCTAGAAGAGACTGACTGTCTGTAACCACAAGCAGGGTTTCATGCCTGTGTTGGATACGAGGGATAATCAGCCTTTCCAGGGCTAGAAGCAGTGCGCGGGATTCCGTCCTGTAGCTGGATGGGCGTGCACCGCAGTTTATACTGGCCTTTTCTATTATCTCCGATGAGTTGAGGGATGAAAGCAGTATTCCAACCCCGGCTGACTTGGGAACGTCGACACCGCCATCCGTCGCGAGTATCCACGAACGATGGCTGTGCAGGGCTAGAGCCTCTTCGCTGACTCTGCGCTTTTCCCGTATCAGCCTTTTTTCGTTAGTTATTGAGGGATCTATCAGAAGTTCCACGCCAATGGTGACC